AACATGGACCTAATTAATTATTAAATTACAATGAATTCTCTACCCGTGACAGAATATTAAATATAATAATAACATCGAGCCCGTCAAAACGGACATATTATATGTATATATAGGTATATATCAGATATAAGAATATCAACTATGCCTTAATATCATTGCACTAAATAAACAATTTGGAATATGTTCCCTTCGAGGAATGATATGTCATTACCGCTAAACAAATTCGAGATATTCGCAATAAAGTATCTATTCATAAATAACATTAATATAATTTGGTACATGCTTTTTTAAAGTGTATAATAATACCTAGGAGCGTTCGTCTAACTCCGGAATCGCCGACTCCGAATAACACAATAAACTATCTAGTCGGGGGTAACGGAAGTTCCTTAACGTATTCGACCTCAGGTCACGATCCTCGGAATAAAATACTCAGGGTCAGTCTTAACTACGACGATAAACTCTAAAACAAAAATCAACAAGAACGGCGCGCGCGGCGCCGGGGAATGTGCCACATTACATCTACGTATATATTAAAAGTTCTCAACAAAAAATATAATAATAAAAATAATAATAATATTAATAGTAAATTATAAATAATATTATTGCAGGACCGATTTGGTTGGGTATCAACTTTGGCGTGTGTGTGTGTGTGTGTGTGTGTGTGTGTGTGTATGGTCGTTCAGAGCGCGGGCGTCTTCTTGACGCGGCGCACCTTGTTGGTGGCGTAGAGCAGCCACTCGGCGTTGTGATGCTTGCGGATGTGCACGCCGAGGTTGCCGCGCTGCTTGGCGCGGTACGAGCAGTACGGGCACTGGTGCGCGGGCGCCTTACCTCCGCACTCGACGTTCTCGTGGCGGCGCAGCGTCGACTTCCAGCGGTACTTCTTGCCGCAGTGGCGGCACTCGAACTGGCGGCTGGGGTCGTCGCCGTCGCGCTTCACGTACGGCGGCTTCGCCTTGTGGTGGGGGGGGTCGTGCGCGGCGGCCGCGTACCCGTCGCCGTAGTACGCGTCCGCCTCCTCGGGCAGCACGATGTCGTCCGTGTCGTCGTACTCGGCGTCCGACTCGGCCTCCTCGGGCTTGGCCGGCTGCACCTTGTACTCGCCGCCCGCGACCGTGTTGTTGTTCTGCATGAACGCCCGCTGCAGCAGATGCGCTTTGATATTGTCGGGGATGGTGGCGAGCGAGTCGAGCGGCAGCTCGGGGAGGTGGAGCGGGCCGTAAGCGGGCGTGATCTCTTTGGCGGGTTTCATGATATCAGTGACCCGGATGCAGGACGGCACGAGCGCCGCCAGCGACTGAGACTGCGCGTGCTGCACGGATAGGAGCGATAGCAGGGCCGTCGGGAGGTGGGGGTCCTTGGCAGACTCTGAAATACAACACATCCGTGGTATTGCAAATAATAAATCAAGCGGAACTACTTATGGAGTCTCTGTTAATACTACCGAAGGCTAAAATAAAATTAAGGAACCAAAGAAATGCGTTACGATAATAATAAAAAAAAAATATAAAAAAATATTCTCTGTTAGAATTATAAGGCGAAGCTTCTAAATTCATGCAAACATGCACAATCCAAATAATCGAACTGTCTGACTTATCTTCCCATAAGTTTAGGAAAAAAATGAGAGGGGGGGGGGGACACTCGTGTCGTGTTAAATAAAAAAGGATATAGTACGTTACAAGTCATTTATTAATTAAAAAATATCGAATACCGATGAGTCTACATCGACACCTAAGTATACAATGCTCATATAAAATTAACGAATTTAAATACAATCTAAAAGGAAGATCGAGTGGTCATAAGGCACTAGAGTAAAGCACTCGGAGCGGTGAATCGTACACGATATACATGGTCGTTCACTTGACAGTGACGGTCTGAATCTGGCTGGGGTGCTTCTTGTTGATGTGGTTCTTGAGTTCGTTGCGTCGATGCTTGCTGCAGTTGCAGTAGGGGCACTTGTACTGCGGCTCGCGGCCGCACTCGAGCGTCACGTGGCGCACGAGGTTGCGCCGCGCGTTGTAGCAACGCTCGCAGTTGGTACACTTGTACCTTTTCTCAGTCTTTTTAGTGGCGAAGCTCGGGGTGTTCTCGCCCGGGAATATGTTGTATTTAGATTCTTTCTTCTCTACAGATTCGTCGGCGGCCTTCGGGGATGATTTCGGAGGCTCCACGGGCTGTTTCGTGTTCTCCTTGGTCTCTTCTTGCGCAGGATTTTTTGGTTTCACGTTCTTTAATATTGCGAATGTCTTCGACGGCGGCTCCTCGGGCTCTTGACTTCGCGTCACTATTTTACAACGCGGCGATGTTTTAGGACCTGAAATGGAAAATTTAGTACAGTGCACTCGCGAAAACCATAAAATAAAACAAACAAAGAATAAAAAAATAAATAAAATTAAACAGTTTGTATTATGAATGTTTGACAAAATGAACATAACATTCAGAATACGACTGTTTACATTATGCAGATGTTATGATTTCACATGTGATTTGATAAAAACTAAAAATAAAAACCAATAATAATATCAAAATAAAGTATATTCAAAGAAAACAAAAGTTAATCAACAAAAATAAACTACGTGGCGCGTGTTCTGCCTAACGATTTCTTGCGATAATGTAAAGAAAAAAAAAACTTTTATGAAACTAATCAACGGTGTAATTAGACTATAATTAATAATCAACGTGGTAACAACAGCCTCGATTTGGCACTGGTAATGAGATCAATATCCTTGACTCAGTTCAACAAAAGTATATTAAAGTAAAGAAAATTTTTACATCATTTCAGACTCGATGAAAAATTTACTTTCGTCAAACACAATTTGTTATTTTTACCCCCAACAAGATGTATAAAAAAATATCTATAATGTATAAAATATATAAAGAATATGTAACAAAAATAAGAAAAGTAAATATAAAAAAATCCTAGTATCAGTGAGTTGTTTTTTTCTCGTTAACTTTATCTTTCATCCAGTTAGGATGTTTCAACGCGATGTGAGAGGTGAGCGTTTTCTTCTGCGAGTATCTTTTCCCGCATTTGTCGCACACGAACTGAGGGCCCGTGACGCACTCATACTTCTCATGTCGCAATTTGTTCCTTCTGTACTTATACTGCTTTTCCTTGCAAATTGAACAAATGTATCTTTTCTCGTGGTCCATTGGTTGTTTTTGACAACTACCGGACATGCCTAGTTCGACTTTCCTTTTCAATTTCTTAGAGCCCTTTATAATTTTCTTTTTCAACACCTTCCTGACCGTTCTCCGTCCTCTACGCTCAGTCTTAACAATTTCATTGCTCGTGTTCGTATTAGTTTCACTTTTGAAGAATCCCCGTGTTAGTGGGTAGGGAGTTTTTGCGTAAATCATGGTGCTTAATAGATCTACGGATGGTTCTGGAAGGGGAAAACAGTGAAAAGCGACAATAAAATACATATAAAGCATTAGTGACAAGGATAAATGAATCTGTAAAATTAGTCACAAGAGTAGATAAACGAAGCGTGGTAAGAGCATGATTACGTTCGTAACTTGTGCAAGGTTACTTGTATAGGTCCATTCGGTTGATAGATTGCAATACATAAAATATGGCCATGGTCATGCTTATAGAGGGGATTCTGAGGGGCCGCCATTATTAATACATTTTTGCCTACCTTGAAATTACTTTATTTTAATACATTTTTAGTTTACCACGTCTTAAAAAAATCCTGCAGCAATAAATGAAATGCGCATGGGCAGTGGACTCTAATTTACATGCTTTCAATAATCTTGACATTTTTTAACACATGCATGTTTGTTGAAAATGTAAATAATGAATACCTATAAAAGAACTCTGCCGTGAAATCACATGTGAATAATGCAAATAAAAGAAAAAATAAAAATAAATAAATAAGCCATATTACCGACAAACTAATTATATTAGTAAAAAAAAAAAAACTTATTTACCTTTATCCACCGGCCGCAGTGCGTATCACAATCTTCTATAAACAAATTATAAAAAATCACACATCAATCTGTGCATATTGTTCTCGCGACATTTAGCATTTACTGAGCCGAACGACTTCTTAAAGATGTTTGAGAAATAAAACTCGGGCGGTGATGTTTGTGCATATAAAATGTGTTCTACCTCTACATAATGTTATGATAAATAATATAAATTATTGTGTATAAAAGTTAATATAATAATGTTAAAAGTTTACTTACCAACACGTAAGTGCAAGCCATTCCACTTGAATGTTAGAAACGTAACATAGAATTAGCACTCGTCATATTCGACAATAAATTGTACCATTTCAACCTACAACAGGATATATGTGTACCACTACTGTAACGGACAAGCATGCATGAACTACATATGTGTCTAGACCCCATAACACAAACATTAAGCCAATTATACACGTACATGTACTGTTCTACCATATTATGAAAGTAATAATAAGGAATGCTTATACTTACCTTCCAAATTACCTCACCTTTTTCGTTAAGAAAAAGGCTACAGAATAGCAAAACCATTTTACCATAACCGTTACCTGTTGCACTGAAATATTCATAAAGTTCAATGGTGATACAAAAACTGTATTGTAATATTAGTAATTTTATAATAATATTAGATATTATAAGGTTTACGTTTCACATGTGAAAACACTAGCACTCTTGTATCCGCTGTTGTGAAATATAATATTTATATATAACAAGATAAATAGATTATTTTAAGCAATGACTGTTCTAAAGTTCAAATTATGGGAAGACATTGCGCATTTCATCCGTTCCTTGTATGTTCTGGAGCAATGAACTTTAGTCAATAATTATTATTAATGTAATATATGTTCTAACGTAACGTATAGGTAACATTGCTAAAGTTGATTGTTCCAGGACCGATGTTGGAGTCCCATTGAACACCTTGGGTTGTCTGATAGTCGGCATATTGAGGTATGTAACAATAAACGTGGTGCAGTGTAAACAACACAAGATGTTTGTATGAGCATCGCGGCCGGTAACAAGTGTGCGCTTACCTTGCGAGTCTCTGGCGCTGTCGTTTGAGTTCATGATTTCATCTTGAGATCGTTCCATGTGCCATTGAAAATCTGAAAAGGAAATTATTGTTTACTATTGTGTCTTTTAACGAACCTACTGGCATATTTCGATATCAAACTCCACATCCATTTTGGATATTATTTTATGAATTAAAAAAATAAGAGAATTATATTATTCGTCGGCAAAGTTTATTTTAGTCATCGACTTGTATCATAATAATTTATTAGGTCTATCGCAATGAAATAATTTCATTATGTGAAAATTAATAGATGTCGTCATGTATTAAATTAACAAATAAAATTAACATGTATTTTTCATTCTATAAAAAAAAAAAATTACGTTCTCAAAATAATATCTTTAATCCTAATTTAATAGGTTCCTACTCAGAATGGTAGATACACTTATATTGATTGTCGTCAAAAGATTGAGACTTGTTTTTATTTCAGATTTACTCACAAGTACCTACAGAAGTATATTTTATTTCGTTTTGGTGGAACCCAATTGGCGCACCATGAAAATTGAATAATTCGGCTGCCATAAAGCCGCGGCTATACATTGGATTCAACTTTGCGTCCATGCTTGACTCCCAATTTAAAATGGCTAATATAGTACCCAACTGCTACACCGTACATTGGCTTCAATATAAACTTAGTAACCAACACAATTAAAAATACAAAAAATATCGGAGCACTACCAGAAGCACTCGCAGAGTGCATAAGTGTAGCCTGGGAGTGGGGGTCACACCCTAGAAATATACTCTCTTTCATACAATATTAACAAGATTCATGGCTGGGGCCATGGACCTCCTCCTAGGAAAAATCCATAACTACGCCTATAAGTATTTACATTATAGCCTACAAAATTATCAACAGGATCCGTAACTTGCGATGAATGGCAGACCAATTCGTGGCGACCGCGCAATGTTGTGTCCTTTCGCTTTTGTACTCGTTTTAAAAACCAAAACAGTGCGCGTCGGTTTTGGATATTGGACGGTCATTGGACGCAAATCTTGAGCCATACATTGGTTTATTGTCTCCAATACATTACATTACTGAAAATAAGACCAATGTGTAGCCGCGACTTTAAACGTCTATCCTATCTGCCAAAAAGGCAAAAAAATTTAAGATGTATTTTTAGGGTTTCGTACCCAAAGAGTAAAGTGGTAACACTATTATTGAGACTTCGCTGTCTGTCTGTCACCAGGCTGTATCTCAAGAACCATGAAATTTACACAGTTGAAATTTTTATAGATGATGTATTTCTGTTGCCGCTTCAACAACAAATACTAAAAACCATAATAAAAAAAAAAACACTTAAGGAGGCTCCTATATAACAAACGCGATTTTTTGCTCGTTTCTGGTACGGAACCGTGCGTGAGGGAGTCGGACTCGTACTCGGCTGTTTTTTTTTGTATGTTCATTAAATTTTTATTGTTTTCTTTTTTATTCGACAGCTTGATCGAGGTGGTCCAATTTGAATTATATCGAAATCGAATCAGTAGTTTTCTTTTTATAAAAAAAAAAGACAAAATATGCTTTTCATAAAATATAACCTAAATACACACATCAACATGGTCTAGAGATATTTTGTATAAAGTTCTAAATTCAAAAAATACTGGCCGGTTTTAAAATCTTTCGATGAAAAGTTATTTTGTATGCCTTTTTTGATGATTCCCAATTTGAATTAAAATAAAAATAATTTCAAACAAAAGATTTGCGCGTCATAATTCAAGCGAAGTTCGAAGTTTTCAATTTACCTACCATAGTTTTTGAAGTTTTTTTGTGTTAATCGAAAGTTTTAAAACAAGTTAGCTGTTTAATTTGAATTTGTGCTACTGTATGCATTATGCAGCGACGCCATTTAATAAGAGAGGAAATGTTAAGGGTAGTAAGCATGCTCCAAGCTGAGGCAAGTCAACGGAGCATTGCTGAGGACATCGGAACAAAACAAAACGTGATATCACGGTTATGTTCACATATCGTGCTACTGGTGAAGTGGCTGAAAGACACCTAGGCGGGAAGCGCGTAACCACCCAACGACAAGACCGATTTTAGTAAATTGCTGCGAGAAGGCAACCAAATGTTACGGCCATGCAGTTGGTTCAAAGGCTCCAGTCAGAGCACCAGTTGCTTGCGAGTGAGGAGAAGACTGCATGAAGCTAATCTTCATGCTCGCAGGTCGCTTCGTAGTCCTGCACTACGCCGAGGAAATCGTGGAATAAGATTACAGTGGGTTCGTGAACATTTGCTCTGGGAAGGTAGCCAGTGGTCTGTAGTGCTGTTTACCGATGAGTCCCGATTCGGTTTCCATCCTGATTCGCGAAGAGTAAACGTTTAGCGAACTCCTGGTCGTGGGAGCCGCCTGCAAACACCCTCAGGAAATCCATCCATACCATGGCGGGACGATTATGGTTTGAACGGGAATTCACGTTGGTGGAAGAACAGACCTCGTTTGGATCAGAAACACCATGACCGCTGAAAAATACCTCAACCAAGTACTAGAACCAATAGTCTACCCACATTGACTACAAATGGGTCAAGAATTCACGCTCATGCACGACAACGCTCGTCCCCACACAGCGCGAGTGGTCACCAGCTGGCTGCAGGAGCACGATGTATCGGCCTTAGACTGGCCCGCGCAATCACCAGACCTAAACCCCATAGAACACGCGTGGGACATGCTCCAAAGAAAGGCTTTGAAGAATTTACCTACAAACATCGTCACTGAAGAGCAACTTTTTTTTGCATATTTTCAGGACCTGGGACAATATCCCGCAGCAATTGCAAATAACGGAATGATTTCGCTTTATTTTTGACTTTTTCTTGAAAAACTCATTTATCGTTATTTTTACCATTATTCTACTTTTCGTCTTTACTTAAATCAATTATTTTTAGGTACAAAAAAATATTTATGTTTTATTCTATAATCTACGCTTTATTATATAATCTACGAAAGGATTTTTTAAAATATATATACTTTACATCGTGCAGTTTTGATCAAGGTTGGTGGCGATGAAATGTAGTTTAAGCTTTGATATACAACACAGAGTTAAGTGTATTCTAAACTTAGCTGTGCTGTGCTGTCGTTGATTCTAAACAATTTTGTGTATATTTCAGTTTTGGGAAGTTTTGTGTTTTCCGTTTCATCCGTATTTCAGTAGTGTGGTGCCTTTGAAGTTTAATATCACGGATATTTTGCTATTAATAAAATTAATAATTGTGTTTTATTTCAATCCAAATCCTTTGCAGTTAACCAGTAGTCTGGGCTTTGTACAGCCGTAGTGTAGAAGGACGTTTTGTTAATGACTCAGCTGATCACCGTTTAGGGCCAGTTTTTTGATCCGTGGTTAACTCAACCGTTTGTTAAAATGGACAAATGGTTAAATATCAGAAAAATATGTTTTTTGATTAATAGTTAGCCTTACCAACTGTCAGAATTACAACCATTTGTCAAAACATTTAACCATCACTGGAAGCTAGGTTAAATAAATGACCAATGGTTAAAAGAACAGATGTAAAACTTCATTGTATTTACTTGGTCCCTTGTTATTGTTTTTTACGTTGTTTTTTTCATAGTGAATTTGGACATTAGCTTTTTTTGGGATTTCGTTTTATGATGCAATTTCATAGGAAAATATTCATTGTCATTTTTTGGTTATAGGGTTATTGAAAATAAGTTATATTTTTATCTTGATCATCCTTAGTATATTGGTACTATATAAAAATAATTTTTCTTGTTTCCACGGGCAGATGCCAAATTATTCAATTATTAAAAAGTCCACGAATAGTCAATACAAAAGGTAAATATGCCTACAGTACATAAAATACATAGTCCTCAATTTATTTTCCAACATTACAATCGCACCTCGGATACTATATTCATTTCACATATTTATCTATAAGATAAATTAAAGAAATTGCCTTATATTTCCTGAAAAATTACACAGTGCACACAACAGAACAACCATAAACATCCACACTGTTTGGTAATCTATAGATTTCTTTCGTCTATTTGATATTTGGAACAAAATTCTAATTTCAAAAATGGTATATAGTTCCCTACGTTCATTCAAACCGTTAGTGTTGTCACCCAGAAAAAAATTACCCATGTCAATGTATAGCGAAAAAACGACTCATTGTGCTGGCAACAAATTGGCCAGTGGTTAAATTTGGCAATGGTTTAATATAGCATCAAAAAACGAAATAGCAAGTTAACAACTTGTTAATGTTTTAACTATCGTCAAGTTAACAAATGGTGAAATGACATTTAACCATGGATCAAAAAATTGGCCCTCAGTCGTACAAATTAAATGCGGTATTCAATTACAGGGCTAACTGGCCAATTGAACGGATGTTTTACTCACAAATATCGCAACCTATGCTGGTAAAATCTGTTACCTGACACTTTGATTGGGTTCTGTACACAATGAGTAAAAACGGAACCCTACTACTAAGACATGCATAGGTACACATATAGCCTTATTACAATGAAACTTTAAAAAACTCTTGCACATTCAATTCAATTTATATGAGTAGTCGAATAGTGTTGTGTGTGTGTGTGTGTTTATACGTACTGCGTACGACGTCGTTGTGTGAGTGCGGCGGGTCGTCGGGCTCGTCGTCGAGCGTGAGGTCCTCGACGTTGTCGCGCGGCGGCTCCTCCTTGCACGCGGCCCCGGGCCCGTTCCCCGCGGGCCCCTCCACCCCCACTCCGGCCCCCGCGCCCGGCCCCGCCCCCACGCCCGGCGCCGCGCTCTCGGTGGAGGCGCGGCGCGCTTTCTTTCTGCGCCTCGTGGGACTCGCGGAACCTTCGCGACTGTCTATGCTGCCGTCTCTGACCTGCACGTTACGGAACGTCCGCTCATGTTTACTGGTGACACGGAGGATCGGCGGATCTTCCGCGCACCTCCTGATCGAGGTGTCGTTTCGATCAAAATGCACTTGATCTTAATATAGTATTGTTACATTGTGGGATTGCGTTCGATACTTCATTTTGATCGAATGCGCTCAATGTTCAGAGCGATATTGAAAATTGACTGAGTTTCTATTAAATTCGATGTAGTTCCGCGGTAAGCCTGTTCGGATTTATAAAAAAAGTAAGTAAGCTGGGGCCCTCGTATTACGGATTATATTTGAATCGTTTGTCTACAGGGTGACCAACATTATTCGAAATATTGAATTTTATTTTTCGATTGTACGGAAAATAAATGTCTATAAACGTCATTTATTCATTTCATGTTTTGACGTTTGGAATAAAAATTGGATTTTTGCCTAGCAATCAATAGTAGTCTTAATTTATAAAAAGTCTTAATTTTTTTCTAAATACATTGTTTTAACTATTACCCCAAAATTCAAAATTGACATATTTCATTGTTTCTTTATGTGTAAAGAACACAAACGTGACGTTGGCGGAATTGTGTAAACGCAAATACGCCATGAATAAAAAAAGAAGAAGATTTCTCATTATACACAATATAAAACTAAATCACATCCCGCTGTCTGTGCACTGTGATCTTGAAATGCAAAATATAATACAGGATCACACACGGCTGGCAAAAAAACTTGCAACCCATCCAAAGATTTAAGTATCATTTTAAGTAAAAAATACCAAATAAGTATCATCGAAGAAACATTTTTGAAAGCATGTTCAATGGAGCCCTTGCAAAGCATAATATGTATTTGTTGGAGCTCCACTAAAATATGGGTCATAAAGCAGTAAACAATTATTAATAACAGTACATATGAAATAAGGTTTTGGTTTATTATACAATAAATATAAATTATTTTATATATAAAAGTAGAGTACCACTTTCAAAGAGAAATAGGTGCACATATTAGTACTACTCGTATCAATTAAGATGATGCTTATTCTTTTTCACCTTAACAATAATATTACAAAATTCTAATAAAAATGTCAAAGAATTTTTATTTTTTATATTTTATTACATATTTATGACGCAACAGAGCTAGGACCTGGCACTGCCTCTGATGCAAAGATAATCTTCACAGCTATGATTTTAACAAAATTATAAGGATAATTCAAATTGTTCCAAATTTTCCTCCAAGGACTAAATAGAGTAGGCCTTTATTGTCATTTTGATTAGTTTTACTTATAAGAGTGTAGATCATTGAAATCAGATCTAATTTATAATATGTTCTTGGATATACATTATGAAGTTCATTATGTATAGCCCCAATGTATAAACACCTTAATTTTGAACCCTCTTATTTGATACTGTCATAATGGTTTATCAATAAGCAGTCATAAAAAGCAATTCCAACTGAGTTACAAACATGAATATATTTCGTTTTCAAAATCACAAAAAATACTCTAAAATAGTTAACAGATGTGGCTTATTCTATCACTAACAGCCAGTTGCACAAACACTGATTAAAATTTTCATTCGCTTAAGCATTTAAAAAAACATTACCCATAAAAATTTGACATTCATTACAGCTTTAAGGCGTCATTAAACCTTAATGGATGTTTGTGCAACTGACCATATAATCGCTATTATAAGCTATTAGGCTATAATCAAATAACACTTGTTCTAATTTTAAAAAGTTTATACTATCATCAATATAAGATCTTAAAAGAAAACTGTCTGTTTTCATAAGTATGCTTTTGTTTCTAAACAAAGTATGTAATTACTATTCTGATAAAACTTTTAATATTACCTAGTTAAGGATCATGTATATGAGTTATATTGGTTAATCTTTTTAAATGGTTATAAATTAAAAACAATGCAAACCTGTGGCGGGTGTGCTGGTGAGGGCGGTCGCGGCGGCAGGGCGGGCGCGGCGGGGCGAGAGGGCGGTCGTGATGGTTTGTTATCACTCAGCCCTTTGATCTGCAGGGACTCTGCTGCTTTCAATAATGCAGCTAGCTGATCCTGCGATATGTTCACTTCTCCACGATACATATAATCCATCATCGCTCTCAACTCTGCATATTTCACATCTTTCAATATTATTATCGGATGCTTATCATATTGCTGAGATAGTACACTCTGGAAATAAAAGTGTATGTTGTTGTTATTGATTTTCAATACACATTTATATTATAGAAGTTTGTAAACATTGAGTCTTACTATATAGAAGCAATGACAGAATCCGTATGTTGAATTTGTTTACTATGTTAGGGAGATTGTAAGCATTATTCACTTAATGACAACATTCATTAGTTAGGTACTAAATATCAAAAATTATGACAGCTAATTGCACTTGTTATTATGGAATGTTAGTAATTTGTTTAACACTATAATAATACGAAGTTTGCGTTTGTCAAACATTGAAAGTGGTAGGAACAACTTTCAGTTGCCAACTCATCTATGCATCGATATAAACTAATTGCTAACGCATGAAAGCTAGAATGAAACAACTGGAATGTTTATTAGAGCACAACTGTGCTGCCTTGTAACTTACAAGATAGCAATTGACCTACATTATTTCAACAAACGTATTAGACATTATACCAACCTCGAAATACGGACTGCACGCTGATAGGACCACTTTATGTGCCTTTAGAGTCTGTCCTTCTGCCGCCAGGGTGCAGTCCACGTGAATGCCTTTTTCTAATAGAGTGTCAAATACGGACACCAACGTTGATTGGTGATTGTTCCACCTCAAGCAGAACTGTTGGTCGTCATCCATGATGTTTGCCACTCGCCGCGCCCGTAGCCCTACGACAGCAGAGCTCAAGATCAACACCACTAATTACGAGCTAATAAACACCACGCAATAACTAGGCCATCGGAAAAACTTCATAGGACACACATAAACATTTTCTTTGTACACTGTTATCCCGCGACTGTGTAAATTATCTCACCGAATCACTTCATATGACGAGATGAGATCACGCCCCAACTTAACTAATTTAACTTTACGGACCACATACGTCTTGTCGTAAGCGACGCGGCACAAAGAAAATGGCCGCTTTTCCAGTACTACAAAAAATAAAATGGCGACGAAAATCCTAAGTTTCACTATTTTCTGGGCTAACTTTTCATGCCACTTGTTGTTGGTTCAAGTTCATCGTTCCCTCGATACGGCGAACTCCGAAAAAGTTTGAAGTCAACAAAGAACTTCCTAGAAACTTTACTTTGAAAGTTCACGAGTGGAAATTTTCAAGATGAAAACTCGCAGGAATAAGTTAGCCCTTATCACGTTCGTAATACCACACAGCAAACGTGAAGCACTTACCTTGACTATTTCATTAACTATTTTATTGTTTAGCAACGTTATTAAGACGTAGTTTTCATGTAATCTAACGCTACCACTACAATTTTAACACATTTGCACACCCGCCAGCTTTCTTGATTGAAAACACTGAACTAATAGCTACGTTATGTTGCAAGTTTAGAGAAAGGCACCTCTACTACAAAAATCCAAACGAAGTAGGTACAAGTTGGATTGGAAGCGACGCGAGTGACCCAAAATAAGCTTTGTCAGTGTTGCCGTTATAAAATAATAAGAAAGCTTGTTATTTCATAGCGTTTTAAATATAATATAATATAATCTTAAATTACCTAAATAATGTTTATTGTAATTATTATGAATAGCTTTAAAAATAGTACATAATAAATGTGGTTTATTATTTTAAGGTTAACAACAATATATATTTATTGTTGGGTGCGTGTTACCACACACGTGATTCCACAACTGTCGCCATCTATTGGTAATATCACGTACTTTAATCGATGCCAGTGTTCAATGCTTTTGCGCGAGTGAAGTGAAAGGAAAACAGTTTGACTTGACGATGCGAAACGAAATACATTTCTCTACTTACCGAGCAGCACATTTGTCATAATGATACACATAATTTATTATATTTGATGATAAGATTTTAAGGTAACAAACATTATAAAATGACTACTAAGTCAAAGACATATATTTAGAAGCCTTTAAGTCGATATCGCTTTAAGTTTTACTTTATTTCTTATTATCTTCAACAAATAATATCTTCAACAATTTGGTTTCATTACACATCAATAATGAAGATCGCTAATAAAGGCACGGGTCATTAGGATTTTTTTAGTGAGGTCGTGTGGCGGTGACCTTAAAGCTTTTTTGTGTATTCAAATGGGTTAAAAAAAAAACAATTTCCGGTTTACTCCACTTTTTTAAATATTACTTCATTTGTATTTACCTATAACAGGACTAGAGTGGTGCAACGTAACATCATTAAAATTTACGAACTGAATATGAAAAAAAAACTTTACAAATTTTCACACATAAAACAAAAACAAATGAAAAAAAAACTTAAAACAAAATTTTACATGCCAGATATGAATAGTAGAGTCAAAGAGGTCATAACTAAGTACATTAGGGGTTAAAGCTTGTTACCGATTTGTACTGCAAATTAAAACGTTTTTTTCTAAGATGTAGGTATCGTATTTAGTGAAACTAAATATTAACCCTGATTATCTTACATTGTTGCCATCTAATCGGAAGTTATGCTTTTGCGATATAAATCTGGAGGCCTAGATTCGATAAACTACGTGAAACATTTTGAATTGCCAGTTTTTATCACACAGATAATAGGGATGATGACTGGGTAAAAAAAAATGCAATTCTATTTAGTCCGTCAGTCAGATAATAGAAAAATATTAGATACGTATTTTTTTTACTTCAATTTAACAAGAAATAGCTTAGATAACAGGCATTAAAGTTGAAGAGTGGGGGCTCGCTACGTCACAGTTGAGTAGAAAACGTACCCTAACGTGACGTCATGCGAAATTTCAACTCAATGTAACGCCGTAATTTTATGATTACGAAAAAAAAATGGGTTTAATATTTTTTAACACTACCTGACGGACAAACAAACAAAAATTAGTCATCATCACTATTGATCAAATCTTGGCAAAAATAGTAGTCCGTTGGAGCTAGGTCTGCCGAATACGGAGGATGACGTAGTTTCTTACTGCAGCTTCTGTAAGTTACACGTACAACCGTTTCTTGTGCAGTGCGAAGTTACGTCATCATATACCAATAACAGTGAAGATTTTCGACGTATCCTTTTTTACTTTGTAACCTAATAATAGTTCTTATCTTTTTAGCCCTTAAGGACCAATTTCTATATTCTAATGATACCTCAGACCACCGTCGGGCTATATTTTTTTTGCTCAGGAAAAAAAGCCGATTTTTTATAATATGATATAGTCTATATTATAATGCGTTTTATGTATCTGTAAGTAAATAACATAAAGTTACAAGTTATATTTAACGCTAATTAATTTTACGAGGTTTGCGGAGCTCTTGGAATGCATCCGGGGACCACCGGTTTGGAAATACTGGTCTAAGGTGAATAGTAAAAAATAAGTGAAAGCCGAAAATCTAATGTCAAATTCAAATCCATGTAATATGTTTAGGCAGTTACAAGCACTCGTGAATGTCGAAAAAACCGTAGACTTCTAATAGGTTTTTTGGAGGTAGTTGAACAGGTAAAGACCTATTTTTTAATCGAATTCATAATAAAAACTCCTTTTCCATGAGTTCACTGACATCTATATCGTCTTAGATGTGTTTGAGGACATTTTATATTCGACGGGTATGTACAGTCAACAGCACATCAGGTTGTTAAATTCGTATTCGGTCACTTTACTTGTCAAACTTTGCAATAGACAGTTGTCTACTTTTGACCAATGATCTGCTTCCGTCCAGTGGCGGATTTACCAGCAGGCCTACTACTCAAGGTTGGAGTCTAGGGCGGCAAATTTAAGAGGCGGCAAATTTGGCCTAATTTTTATATACATATTATTTATACACTTTATTGCACAACAAAGTAAGATATACACAATGTGCAATAGAGAAGCAATCTCTTCCATACTGAACAGCCTTACGAAAGTAATCCATATATGAAAGATCACTAAACGCTCTGTAAAATATAGGTATTTATGTGATAATAAATTTATAAAATATTCCAATAGTGTTTCGATATTACAATTTCAATTCAAGAATTTTATGGCATATTTATTTTACATTTAAATATTTATTTTCTACTAGGTACTTATGTATTTATATAGTCGTTTAGAGTTGCGGCGCGGGAACAATTGGAAATGAATCATTATAAAGTCTATTTTTGTTTTTGCGAAAACATAATTCGGAGAACTTTTATCCAAAATTCATGCTTTGTTTTTATGAACATCTTAATTCTACATTGTAGAATTCAATAAAATAAATAAACTTGGATATACCATTTCGCATGGCTCTATTATCATCATCAGCCCTGTTACGTCTCCACTGCAGGGGCTCAAGTCTTTGTTATGGATGGTTAGAGACGATGAGCCATGAACTTCCACACGGGCCTTATACAGATTGGATGGTATTAATGATTGCAGACGCAGCCGGAACAATGGCTAAACGTGCCTTCCGAAAGACGTTGTAGTTTTTTGGTCTCCATGTCTCTATACCACCAGCCCTTTTACGTCCCCACTGCAGGGGCTCAGGCCTTCCTTATGGATGGTTAAGGAGGATGGGCCATGACCCTCCACGCTGGCCCAATGCGGATTGGAGGGTGTTAACGACTGCAAATGCAGCCGGTACCAACGGCTTAACGTGCCTTCCGAAGCACGGAGTAGCTCGAGATAATAATTTTTTGGTCACCCATCCCGTGACCTTGTTGCTTAACGACTACGATCGCGGGCCGCGACGCTTATCCTCTACGCCACCGAGCTACTCATGTCTCTATTGATTGCGAAAGGTCGTGATCTCAAATCCTAATTCATAGTACCAGGGATAAAGTGAATTTTTAAGCATTTTTTATTAAGAATATTTTCCAGTGAAACATTGTGAATGTAAAATTGATGAAACATAATAACAGCGTGTAAGTATTTTTATGGCGTACCTCACCCCACCTTATAATTAGTACATACTGCTGTTCTTGCTCGATCGTATGTACTCTTCACTAAATCGTGTAAAAATAATCTAGAAACTGATAGAATCATACCCTAATTCATAATCATACTAATAAGTGCAAAAAGCCGATGTAATGAGGACTGTAGATCTCAAATCATAAAGTTGTAATTGCATTAATAGAATAAATGTAATGAATATGATAGTGAACTAAACTAGCGTATCAAATTTTAGGGGTCAAAAATTGAATAGCCTACGAGCGGCAAAATTTATAAATCCGCCACTGCTTCCGTCAACTTTAAAAACTAACGGAGTACCATGAACAACACACACAAGGTTGCCGCCAGATTACAATAAGTAAAATTTCCGCAATGGATTCATTGAGAGTAGGTATTAGGTTTAAATCCGAGTGGGAAAATTTGACAGTTTTAAATAACTGTAAGGAAATCTAAAACACCTTAACGTAAGTACTAAAATCAACCAGGGACGGGCCTTCGTCATTATTTTATTAGAGCAACACACCCTAATTAGTTGATTTATTAAATACCTAGGGATGACGACAAAATTTTCTTTATTGTTCGTCAGGTAGATTTTGAAAAATATTAAACATATTTTTTATTTTTTGCGTAATCATTAAGTTACGGCGATACATTTGGTTAAAATGTCATATGACGACCATGACGTCACGCTTTTGTACATTTTCTACAAAACTGTGACGTAGCGAGCCCCCACTTCTCAACTTTAATGCCTTTTATCTAAGAAGCTATTTCTAGTTAAATCGAAATAAAAAAAAATGGGTGTTATTGAAACAGTCAGCAGAGTATTTTTGTGGGGAAAAAATATAACTCGTTAGCAAAATTTAATAGTTAATTTAATAGTTATTGGATGAAACCATGCCACCCAGCATGCCTAACTGGACCTACCTTTAGGTCCCAATGCGGATTGGTGGTATTAAAGCACAGACATTCTTTATTGATGAAACCAATTCACCCAGCATTCCTAACTAGGCTCACGTGTAGGTTCCAATGCAGATTGGTGGTGATAAAGCACGGGTATTCTATCCAGTACTCATTACATCGTAATTCGCACAGCCAAAAAAATTTGACCATCGAGTTTCCGATCGTCGCTTAACCTCTTCAGGCCATCATCAGACTCTACTCGCACTCTACTCTCCAAACTTTACTCAACAAATCTCAAAAGTTCGTTTATCTCCGACTATTATTTAATGGAACAAACCTGTTCAGAAACGCTAGAAATACTAAAATGCTAGAAGGTTGTTTCGCGCCGACGCCAGCAGGTGTTTTAGTGCCTGTCCTTTAACTTCAACATACTGGGGGCAAATTCTACTAAATAAATTTTGTTTAAATCGAATCGAAAACGGATCGAAACCGAACGAAACTACAGATTTTAATGGAATTTCCATTCTACTATCGGTCAGTTGCACAAACGTCCATTAAGGTTTAAGGACGCTTTTAAACTCTAATGAATGTCTAAATTGTATAGGTAATGTCAAGTGACATTAAAATTGTCATTAGTATAAAGTTAAACTAATGACAATTTTAATGGACGTTTGTGCAACTGGCTATAAGTGACATACGATACAATTCCAGCTAAAATAGAACTGGAATAATAAAATTTTAGAAAAGTCTTGTACATTTTTGTAATACAGGGTTATGAAGAGAACAAATGTATTTTAGTCGCTCATTAAAATATAATAGTAATAGTTATACCTATTATGTAGCTCTTAAGCAGTTAATGTTACTATGAATCATGATGTTTCATGCATTATTACCCGACTGCGCGACGCAAAGGAGGGTAATGTGTTTATCAGTCTACGTTTGTACGTATGTATGTTTGTTTCTATGTGGCGTTCTAGAGACCAAATGCGTAGGCCGATTTTGATTCTTACGTCAATCGATTCGTCTTAACCTTGCGAGTGTCACTAAAGACATGACAGTAATTAAAATTCACCACAGCGACAACCAAACGCCATATTGTCTAAATGAAAAAAATAAAAATCGATGAACTATGTCAAGTGGGGTGTCGTTGAATGGGTATTTTAAAATCATCTTTAGGTTCCTTTTATCATTTTTCATTATCAACAATAGTTTAGGATATATAACGATTTAAAGTTGTTTAACAAAACATTATCGGTAATTTTCTTACTTATTGATTTGTTTTTATTTAAAGTATAAACGATATGCAAACAAAAAAAACAGTGAAAAAGCATGAAGAACAAATATTTTTGGTAAAAAATAAAGCATTTGTAGCTTTGAGCCGAGTTAGGTCTCTAGAGGGACTAATTATCAGTAGTTTAGACCACCGCAAGTTAATTAATAATCCCCACGATATTAACTCCCTCAATGAAATGATTAGATTGCGATATTTGCCATTTTATAAGTCAACGAATCGTAACTAAAAAGTATAAAATAAAAACAAATAATTTAAAGAAAAACAAAAAACCCGACTGCGTAAAAACGAATTTTAAAAAATACATAAAAAAATTAACTTAAATAAAAACTTAAAAGAAAGAAACAAGCCCAGTTGTTTAGAATTCTGTTAAGTAATACAGAATAGAACGACTCACAGTCGGGGCGCCTTGGGAAGATTTGATTGGTAAAATTTGAATGGAACAACTTAGAAACATAGAGCGAACTGAGAAGCAAAGCTCATATGAAGTTATTATAACTTTCGACATTTTTACTACTATTTCATTCCATAACAATGTATAATGATTACTTTAATATACATGCAGGTTTTACAGGGAAACCCATTAATTTACAACATTATAATAATATTATACAATGTAATTGGTATTTTATGCATGGACACTCCGATTCGTTCCTTTTATATAAATTTCTTACAAAACAAAATGAAAATACTAAGTAAAAGACATAATTTTGTTTTAATAATCTAACAATCGTCTCTATTGTGGCTCGTATTGTTTAAGACATCAATGTGTATAGTCGCATTAACTGCTTTAAATCTAACTTTAGTACAATCACTAACTAGAAATAATACAAGTTTAATTTTTCAAAACCTCCGGGTTTGATTCCCGAACAGGGTAGTAGTTCTTATTTTAAGTATGAATTCAGTTTTACTTTTTACTTTACTAAAACCGAGTACCGATCTTCGTATGTTTTATAGTTTCAGACACTTATATTCTATTTATTAGAATACATAAATCGACTGAAAATTAGATAAAATAAGAGCTTGTACTAGCTGCTGGTCGAGGCAAACATTATTTTTAGCCGTCATGTTAAACTCGATCAAAATCTAATAAGAGAAGTTAATAAGTATAAAATGGTTTTTGGGAGTTAATTTTTTCTTTGGTGTTTATTTGTAAAACAATTTTAACTCATAAAATGTGTAGTATGAATATCACACAAATAAGAGTCTGGACCACTCTTTGTAAGCAATATTTTCCAACAAGTATTATATAGTTTAAAGGGTCACATTAAAAGTGGTATTTCGCTCTCCTTTAAAATTAACTTCAGGTTAGGTTTAGTGTGACTTTTACCAACTTAATTTGTAATGATATCCATGGACGATCATCATCAGTGACTTAATGTCCCCACTCCAGGGTAATGGATAGAACGAAATAGGGAGACTGGCTATATCCCACTCCGCTGCCACAGTGCGGGTTGGTGGGTGTTCATACGGTGTGTGACTGCTGGATGTCGTAATTTACCTGCATTTTTTGGATTCCTTTATCATTGCTTCTTCACATATTCGTACGACAAGGGCAAGGTTACGACAAATTCTATAAAAATTGTAAGTAAAGTGTGATGAATACATAAATTTCTTGACAATAAGTTTTCATGTACGGAAAATCAATTATAGAAGAGGCGAAAGCTACAGTTAAGAGTTTAATGTAAGCGGGAAAAACATCAGATGAAAGCTCGTCGAGGTTGTAAAGTTATACAAAAATATTAAACTTTCTAAATATGATTCAATTTTTAAACTTAAACTTGACACATTGCTTTCATAAAACTTTTACTATTTTATGTATTAAATATAATCTTACCTATGTTATTACTTATTTTGGGCCGGAGAATTTGGTTTACCGAATTTACAACTACCTACAAAATAAAACTTTCTGATATCTGTATTCGGAATACCTACTATTAGAACTTCTACTATAAGTTATTTTGATTGTTATTCAAAGAACATATCGGGTTATATGTCGCAAGAGAATTCCATTAAAGTTTCAATCAAATATATTATCTTTCAGAAAACAAAAAAAAATCGTAAAAGTTTTCATGCATTGTTTCAAATATTTTTGCAGAGCAGCAAGAGAGGTCCTTTGGGAACGTTCTCTTCGTTATAAAAATCAATAGCATTAGTGAGTCCGTACAAACGAATTATACGATTGTCACTGTGTGCGTCGGCTGGCTTTCGATGTGCGGGAAACAAAAAAACCACCAGCGAAATTCTTGTAATAAAAATCAATCGGAGCGGAGAGAGAAGGCGCCGCGCAGGGCGCCCGCCGGCCGGTCGGCGCCACCCTGCCCCCACGCTGCTGTGCCTATACTTATACTGCATCTATCCCCCATAATGTGGGTACATAGCTAATTACTAATTTTTAAGATATTTCTTTCTGCGAAGAATAGCAACTCTCATTTCATTCTCGCCTATGAATTTAGGTCGCCAATGATGTCTCTAAAACTCGCTTCGGATTCCAACGTGTCGCTCTCGCAGGAGGCGGGAGGGAGCCGCACGCCCGCGGCCGGCGGTTCCGGCAAAAAGGCGTTTGTTTTTATTTCTTCGGCGCGGAAAAAAATCAGCACGCGCCCGCCCTGCACCTCCTAAACATGCGCCACGCAGCGACGCAGACTCGGGCGGGTGTGTGCCGAATTCACTTTCATTTGCGACATCTCATCGTACCCGAAGGTCACCGTGCAGCGGTGCATGGCGCGGCTGCTTGCGGCGCCCTCCGCTGACCGACTAGGTGAGTGAGTGAATTTCGCGCCCTCGTCTTTCGTTTCCGTCGCGTTTATCGGCGCCTGTTTTGTACCGTCCTTCGTGTCGCGGGAAGATGGTAAAAGTGAATGTGTCGGACCCGCGCAGACGTGCGCCCGGTGCACAGAAAGCACGGACATGTGTCGCGGGAAACGACGCGAGCGGGTTAACGCTGCGTGTGTACACTATGCGCTCCTTCCGACAGGTGATAGAGCGTCACGCAGAGTACTCTATTCGCCTAGTTTTAAAGTCGTTTGTCTGGTGTTCGTCCACGTGCTCTCGTAGCGATAAAGTTTTGAATTATATACGCGGGAACTTCTGACACTATACGAACTTTCGTTTGAACTTTGCTAATGCTCCGCTATGTGTATGGCTGTGTATCCGGCGCTGACGTCGAGCGCAAAACAAACGGAATTAAAAAACTTCGAGAGACGGTCTGGCTCTGGGACAGAGCGAGAGGAATAACTTTGCACTCTTCATTTGTGCACCAATCGAGAAAAAATTCAATAAAGCTCGCTTCCTTTTGTCTAATTGCCTATGTAAACCTATACAAATGTGTATGTGATACGACGATATTCTGCCGGGAAGATGGAGCTTTACTTTGATGTTTCGTCTCGTAGGGATAATGCTTTGAGCACATTTTACGGTTGTAAGCTTTGGTTAAAGTCATATTTTTATTTAGAAAGGTTTACAGTGAGGTAGCGGAAATGGTGTAGATCGAGATTGTAATGTTTACGGGTGGGGATCGTTAAATAATCACTTTTAGTCTCGGATTTGCGATGAGTAGGTACGATATACCTGTATTCGATGTATTGGGTGTATTTGTAATCCCGGTGTTGTAGGATGCCACGGTACGGCGTGACGCGCGTCAAGTGTGAGCCGCCGTCCGATGGAGAGGACAGCAACTCCCAGCACTCGTACGGATACTTCAACAATCATCAGGTTGTATTAGTATTTAGTCTTTCTGTGACATTACTTTTATTGAACGAAAAGTTAACTTGTAACATAAAGATTGCGTTAGGCGCTGAAGCACCGGCCACCAGGTGAGGTTCTAGGTTCGAGTCACGGTAAGATTAATGTTGGTATCGGACCATGGTACTTATGGTACTTTTATTGTTAATGATTCCTGAAACTTAGATAATTTGCTACTTGCTTTACTTACTTAATGTGATGTTGTTTTGTTTATGATTTTTTATGGTATTAGTGTTTTATAATGATTTTTAAAAGAGGTCGTCACTTTCGTACACAAAATGCGGGAGTTTTTTTTATATTATGTTGATATTAGAAGCCGACTTAGAGATAGAGGAGTCTTGAATGTATACTGCCATTTAAATTAGTTTTATTTTTCATATTGGAATCTGAGCAATGTACATGTGAATTAGTTTAATATGGTATATCTAATCTAAATTGACATACGTCTACGTCTACGTCTACGTACACTTCCACTTTGGGTAAAATAAAAAGTGGAATAATGTTCTCTATCTTTATAGAATAATGTTATTACAGGAAAACCATTAAAAGTCTGGTTTACGCGCGAGTGACGTTAATAATGAGCCTTTTTTTTTATTTCAGCTAATATAAAAAGAATCGACTTAATTTAAAAAAATAGGTACTTATTTTAAAGTAAGTTTTAAGTATACAGTTTTATTTATATAATACCCAAAGGGAATAAATGAACCTTGATTGAAGTCGGGTAATTTAGTTCCGCCCAACTCCGATCTGACTTGAAACGAACTTCATTCAAGTATTATGTAATTATTAATTTTCATGTAACTATCACATGAAAGCTCAACTTCTAAAAATATAAGTTATTATGAAAGTTAATAGTTAACTTTTCCTTGATTATCATCACTATTAGCCTACTCTAGGGATGGAATTGTGTTGATGTTGATGAAAGTGTGTATTGGTGTAGCTGTAAACGATTGCAACAGATGCAACCGGGTGGGACCAAAGGCTCAATGTGTTTTCCGAAGCTAGGAGAAGTGGTCTCTTGCGAACTTCCGCATCACACTATGATCACTAGGCAGGGTTATGATACCTATTCGTAACAGATTTTTTTATTAACAGTATTTCTATTTGTCTAGGTGCCGAGTTTGGGCAATTGTCGGGTAAAATTGGAAAATGAGAGTGTGCAGGTGGAGGGTGACCGTTCGACAGATCTCTTGCGTCATCTACAGGTAGGAACAGTTTCTGTTTTACTATTAATTAACTCAATCGTAGCATAGTTGAAGATAAGGTAAAAAGGTCCTTCACTTATTTATAATGGTATTTATGGTAATCTATCACAATTGTTTTGCAATGGTGGCTTCGATTGTATCAATGTTAACGCAATAGTGACATTCAATGGCATTTCAATTAATAATAATAATAAATACTCTTTATTGCACAAACCAAATTAAAATTACATAGACACACATAAATTTTTACGTAAAAACATACAAAACGCGGCCTTATCGCTTCCAGGCAACCTTGCATTGGATGGAAAAAACAAACATTAAATGGCAGATTGTGCATAAAACAAATAACAATTTAAATCACTCAAAACAAAATGGAATAACGGTTGCAACAGCGAAGTATCATAAGAAAAGAACATAAAGACAAACAAAATGCTCAAAACACAAGTGACAACCAGAGCGCGAGAAATGAGAAAAGAAAAGAATACCAGTGCAACGGGTGTACCCATTGCTTACGCTGAGCTGAGGTCAGTTTTGACAGCACACAACATTACACTTTAAGTTCTTGTATGTACTAAATGTTAATTGTCCTGTTTGTTTTATACTGGGTTGTGTTGTGTGTTGGCAAAATAAATACTTTATTATTATTATTATTATTATTATTAAAAGAGTAAATCAGGCTATACGTTTGACAGGAAATGGGATTTTAATTGAGATTTGAAGGAGTTTAACCATTTCACCCGTCCGATAAACTCATGTAGAGAGTTCTACAGATTTATTGCTTGTACTGTAAAGGATTGATATAGAATTTAGTGAGATTGGGAGGAATGAACAATTGATAGTTATTAGAAGAGCGACGAGAGAGATCATGCGTAGATGAGAGAAATTAAAGCGTGATTTGAGATAAGGGGGTAACATGCGATAGGGATGATGACTGGGTAAAAAAATGCAATTCTATTTAGTCCGTCAGTCAGATAATAGAAAAATATTAGAGACGTATTTTTTTTTTACTTCAATGTAACAAGAAATAGTATAGATAACAGGCATTAAAGTTGAGGAGTGGGGGCTCGCTACGTCACAGTTGAGTAGAAAACGTACTCTAACGTGACGTCATGCGAAATTTCAACTCAATGTAACGCCGTAATTTTATGATTACGGAAAACATAAAAAAATACGTGTTTAATATTTTTTAACACCCTACCTGACGGACAAACAAACAAAAATTAGTCATCATCCCTATTGAACAGTATAGAGTAGAAAAGCGAGAACATATACATATCCCTACAACGACGAACGGGGAGCCACTGAGTTGCCTACGGATTACCGTATCGAAAAGTTTTGAATACTTTCAAGTTTATTGAGGAGATCAAGTGTTAGATCTGGGTAGTAGGTATCTGCATAGTCAAGGAGGGGCAAGAGGAGTGAGCATTCACACAGGACAATGTGTTGTCAAAGATGATACCCAGAGTTTTCACAATATCAGTAAAAGCACATGTACCCCATCAAATATAATAGGTGGTAATCTATCTAATTGAATCCCAGAAATATAAAATGAACTGCCTTATAATTATACCCTGAGTTTTAACTTAGTGACCAAAAGAATTACTCCATGGGACGATTCGCACCAGGTCTAAATTTATAGCGCTAATTTCATCATGAAGTAGCTCGAAGCACTTCCGAGAGAACATTTGAAGATCATCTGCATACAAGTGATAGAAAGAAGAGAGTTGTTGGGTGATAAAATTAATAATAATAGAAAATAATAACGGAGGTAGTACACCGCTCTGAGAAACACCGGTAGTCGTGAAAACCCACGTAGAATTTCAGTAACGCTTCTGATTCTCCATCCCTTCATGAATGTCGTCGGTAATCTTAACTGATGTCGTTGTAGTACTGTGTCCAGGGCGAAAACCAAACTGGAACTTATTGAACCACCGTCCTAGGAGTGTGAAGCAGTAGCCCAAGAGGTAAACAGCTCAGTGTTGGATGTTCAATGGAATGTGGAATGAGAGTACAGTCTAATTCCAATGTATTATACAAACAAACAATAATAGATAAATATTATTACACTCATATCGCACACCTAGATCTAAACTAAGACAACTCAAAAAATTAATATGGAGGTCTGACAATACATTTGTTTACGTGGCAGGAGCGCGACCACTGTTGATTCAACAAAAGAAAGCTAAAGTTATCTAGCGGCTCATCCCCGAACCTTTATTGAATCTGTTATGTTGGATAGATGCGTATGATCACCGAGTATTTGAATATTGTACTAAGTCAAGACTCGCTCAAATTTTTGAGTTGTCTCAGTTTAGATCTAGGTGTGCGATATACGAAATAATAAACTATTAATAAACATTTAATAGATCTCATTTTTGCCTCATCAACATCAGCCCTTTTACGTCCCCACTGCAGGGGCTCAGGCCTTCCTTATGGATGGTTAAGGAGGATGGGCCATGACTCTGCACGCTGGCCCAATGTGGATTGGAGGATATTAACGACTGCAAATGCAGCCGGGACCAACGGCTTAACGTGTCTTCCGAAGCACGGAGTAGCTCGAAATAATAATTTTTGGTCACCCATCCCGAGACTAACCCTTGCAAAAGTTGCTTAACGACAACGATCGAGGACCGCGGCGCTTATCCACTATGCCACCGAGCTACTCCATTTTTGCCTCTGTAGATTTTATTTTATTTTTTCAGTATAAAGTTTGTTTCAAAACTTATGAACAGACGAGGTACATCATGAACCTTACAAATGTTCTGGTATCGTCTTTTCAAATACATAACCACCTTATTTATTAAGTTAATTCCGAATAACAGTTTTATTTCGAAGTATCGACCATTTTTTGTTGTATATATGATTTTGATCTGATTCCGATTCCTATATTGGGTCATTCAATATCGGAACTTTCGTTCCGAGATTCATGTCTTATATATTTTTTTTATTATGTCTTTCTTATTTCTATATAACAGACAGGGCTGGAGGAGTTGGCGCCCCCAGCGCCCGCGGGGCCCGCTGCCACGCCAGTGTGCGTGAAACAGGAGCCGGCGGAAGTGCCGGCAGTCACGTTAGAGAACCTAGAGCCAGCGCAGAGTAACAACTGTACGGTGAGCAGAGATAGATAACATAATCAATTTATGTACAATACGAGTAACTACGTATGTTAAGTTCTTGGTTCGCATAAGTGAGAGCAGTCTTTTTTAATGATATTTTATTGCATAAGTATTATTATATCAAGATATGTCTTATATTTACTATAGGGCTCCACATTATTAGACAGACATCTTGCAATGCTTAATTCTACCGAAGTGCCTGAATCATCGGACTTTATGCCGTTAATCACTAAGGATGAACCGCTGTCTGAAGGAGGTGCGTTATTTGTATTTTATTTTGTCGAATCAACTTTATTATTGGGTATTAACTAAATTGGTTTGCTGAAATTAATTTGGTTAATACTCAAAATGAAATTTTCAAAATGAATTTCTAAATTTGTATTCACAATGCTAAATTGAGATTTTCCTTTAAGATAAACATACTGTAACACCTGAATGCTTTCATTTCATTTAGAACAGCAACATTTGAGTGGTGACGATACAAGCGACTCGTGTGGTCAGTCGGAGCCATCACACATCAGGAGCAGTCCCAAGAGCTGGACACAGCGCGACATGGATAATGCTCTGGAAGCCTTGAGGAAGCACAATATGAGTCTAACTAAGGTGTGATTGCTTCAGTCAAGGGGTTGCTTAGTCTAATTTCGCGTTGAAATTTAATAAAATTCATTTTCTTAATTTTCGCGTTTGGGTATATTTTTTGATGAATGCTTTTTTAGTATATTATATCCCTACATTTGTATTATTTAATAACTATAGTCCATGTTGAATATAAATATGCATTCAATGAATAATTATGAAATTACTCTTATAAAACTCAACAATTCAATACAAATTTCTTACTTGAGCAAATAACAAGTATAGTAGCACAGAAAATTACTAATTTGCCAGTTACACGATGAAATATTAATCTAAGTGTACATTATGTTTGGGGATCAATGTCCCGTCCCGGGGACTCGGATACGGATTCCCGGGTCTCGTCCTCCAACGTGAGTGTATACTGTAGCGTATTTAGTGGGTATGCCTGTGTGAATCCATTGAACGAATACTTGCTGGATGGACTCACAGAGGGGAGTCTCACATAACCTCGTCGCTCACAAGGCGGCGCGGTATACATTTTCTCTACAATAAATAAGTGTACATTATATATTTATTTTATGGTATTTGCATGCTGCAATTTAATCTTTCCCTATATTGCCATGCCTTTCAAGGTGCATGTGAATATTATTAACTGAAATTTATGTATTTAGTTTCTAAGTCACATGTATGCAATGCAATGAAATAAATAAATAAATAATACAGCTTTTTGAAATTGTTTGTATTTAATGCTGTATGTATATCGATTAGGCTTCAGCCACATATGGTATACCGTCCACAACTTTATGGCAGCGAGCGCACAGACTCGGTATCGACACACCTAAGAAGGAAGGCGCCTCTAAGTCCTGGAGCGAGGCAGACTTGCGAGGAGCACTGCACGCGCTCAGAGCCGGTGCTATATCTGCAAATAAAGCTAGTAAAGCATACGGTAAGTGCTCACCCTTTTCCAGTGCAACGGGACTGAATAATTTGTAAATATGACCGGACGATTCCGGACGGCAATGAGATTCTTAAATTAATTTATCACTTTTAATGCAAATAATATATTTAAGGATTTACTTACCGAGGCCCTTAGTTTGATATAAATCGAAGTATTATTTTTTTAAGTAGGATCCCACGATCATTATTGAATACCAGTAAAAGAACATGGTCAATGTCACTCACATTAACTTTAAACAGAATATACTATTATTTGGACGGTAAGGTAAAACATACTTCTACTGCACTGTATCATGTGGCGGGATAGGCGAGCTTGAAGAAAAAACCATCGAAACTTTTTATAATACTTATCGACCCATTTGATAGATTGAACTACCACGGCAAAACAGATAAAATTGAAAGATATCAACTAAACGTGGGCGTCAATTTCACACAAGGTATCCCGAGCAGCACGCTGTACAAGATAGCGCGGCGCGAGGGCATCCGCCTGGCGGCGCCGTTCAACGCCGCGCCGACCGCCTGGCGCCGCGCCGACCTCGAGCGCGCGCTCGCCTCCATCCGCTGCGGCGCCTGCAGCGTGCAGCGCGCCGCCTCGCAGTACGGCATCCCCACCGGTCAGAGACTAATTCCAATGCCCTCTCTTGCCAGTTCCTCGATATATAAGTGTACAGTAGAAAATATCACCGTCCTCATCTTAAGCCTTCCTCGACCAGTTTGGTGAAGACTTCCCTCGATCTTCTAGTAGAATATATAAATAAATATATGATAACATCACATACATTGCTCAGATTCCTTGAGTCCCCCTCCCCCCGCCATGACTTATATAACTAATTAAGTTATTTAAAGCTAACCTGTGAGTCCCTATGGAAGTCTAAATAACCAAGGTATCACATACGACAAAGACAATACATTGCAGTTTATTTTTTGTCTCCTCTGTTGTCCGTGATATGCTTGAGGGTTGAAAGTATCCTAAATTTCTTAGTTATTATAAGGTTTAAAATTCTAGGTCTATTTATTGATGAGACCGAGTTCTGACGACTTATGGATAATTTGTTGGTCTAATGTCCAATTCGATACACTCGGCCTGTCTCAGCAGTTAGCTTTGCACTGACTGTTCACAAGTCACGATTGAACGATTAAGAGAGAATTGTCAACTTTCCGTTTAAAGGTACACTTTATGGAAGGTGCAAGCGAGAAGGCATCGAGCTATCTCGATCTAATCCCACGCCGTGGTCGGAAGACGCGATGGGTGAAGCATTAGAAGCCGTTAGGTTAGTGCATTTTCATTCACCTCCATATTGTTATCATAATTGGTATCAAAGTATTACATACGATGTTTAATAAACTTATGTTTTATTTTAGGATAGGCCAGATGTCTATAAACCAAGCTGCTATCCATTACAACCTACCATATTCATCTCTTTATGGCAGATTTAAGAGATGCAAATACCAAATTCAGGTATATGTTTAACCTTATTTTTATAACTGTTAATCTATTTCTAAAATAGTTTTCACATCCTGTAATAATTGATAGGTACTAATATAAATAAAAAGCATTCATGTATGTAGTTGACTTAACGTTCCTTATAATTTCCATGAAATTTATTTCGAATAAACGTTACCATGACGCGCAGTATGTATTAATTATTTACATTTATATTTACAGGGACAATCAATGCATTTAGATATGCATAAAGCGATTGAAGGGGATTCGCAGACGCAACATCAGGATATGCAGTATTACCAGCAACCCCTGCCTAGTCAGTCTACGCATTTAAATGAACAGGATCATACCTTGCAGAATCCTTACTTGCATCACAACATTCACATAAGCGAGCACGATAGTATGATACAAGAGTATTATGGACAAACAGTGTATTACGGTTGCAACAGTATCATGACAAGTTGAGGGTACGACTACCAAGGGGTGCCTTGACCTTGCGCGCTCTGAACTTTAAGGCTGTGCTTATTTTCTTTAAAGGAAATACTAATCGAATGGCCATTAGAATGTCAACTTTAGCATTTGGGAATATGTATATATCGTAAAAAATACATTCTTGAATATATTTTCAATATAATTATCCGACTGAATACTGCTGGATATCTCTAGATTTCTGCCAGTTTTAAGGGCCCCGCCGCTAAGTACGGCATTGTCCTGCCTCGTAATGTAGTTGTACTTTTGTTCGGAGTTATGAGGCATATTTCAATGGCAACAGTATTTAGTTTTCGTTTTCAATCGAAAATATACTTTCAAGATTATGTAAAATAATGTTCTCAAACTTTTAACCGAAAATTTATACGGAGCTGTAAAATAAAGTAAAACTTAGTTTTGTGGCATTTGTACTGTTCAATTTCACCAAAATATTTTTATTGACTCCCAACATGTGCTTTACCAGCTAAGAATTCTAGGCCTCTAGAGTTCCTTGATTATTCGCTAAATATTTTCAAACTTGCTTTATATTAAAAATAGACAAAGATGTGAATCGCTCTGTGGAATTTTCTGACGCTATATTTCGGCGCAAAGTCTTCGTTTAAGCCAGTCTTAAATCAAAAGAAAAGTAAATCTTCGCTTGTGGCGCTAGTGTTCATTGTATTATGAGACCTAATAAGCAAAAGGAATTAGTCATAATAAATAATAACTTTAAGGACTTTTTTAAAGTTGTAATTGAAACGGAAATACGTAAATCGATGCTCTTTCTAGTTGTAGGTACAGTGAAGTACTTAGTTATTTAGATCTAGTAAAATCTTGGCCTGTTGATATTTTTGTAATGTATTTTTAGAGTAAGTTCATGTAATTAAATTTTAAGCGGAATTTTTCGTGGTTGTGTATGTACATTTTTACTATACTTAAGTAAATAATAAGGCCTCATCAATTACGTGATATATTTTATAACCGCACTTTGATTACAAGATAGATTTGTTGTTTTCAAACATTTGTAATGTTACAGTTTTCGGTACCTTATTAAACTAGTTTTAGTAGGTATACCAAATAATTCTTCGGTATATAATATATATTATGTACGTTTTAGTTAAATTCTTTACAAAAACTAAGTTACTGGCTGTTACAAAGGTAATAGGTACATATAGTAGTTATTTTACATTGGCTAAGAGTAATGCTACTGATCAAGATAAACACAATTCTGAATTAGCTAAGTAAAACTATGGAAAAACTACCCCACATAGCACGTATTCTATGTTTGCGTGCCACGCACAGGGATGCGACCCCCTAATTCTCTAGTCATGATTCTAGCCATCGGATACGATATCTCTATGATGTTATGGCGATATTTCGTTTCCTTTATCCTTTATCCACCGGCCGCAGTGCGTATCACAATCTTCTATAAACAAATTATAAAAAATCACACATCAATCTGTGCATATTGTTCTCGCGACATTTAGCATTTACTGAGCCGAACGACTTCTTAAAGATGTTTGAGAAATAAAACTCGGGCGGTGATGTTTGTGCATATAAAATGTGTTCTACCTCTACATAATGTTATGATAAATAATATAAATTATTGTGTATAAAAGTTAATATAATAATGTTAAAAGTTTACTTACCAACACGTAAGTGCAAGCCATTCCACTTGAATGTTAGAAACGTAACATAGAATTAGCACTCGTCATATTCGACTTCGATATTTTTTACACTACCTACTTACCTAGATATATATGTATGTATATAGATAAGTAGGCAGTGAAACTATGTAGTTCCACGCCCGTATCCGCGAAAGGATAGGCCGAGATGCATTTATGCATCCACATTTCGCGAGTTATGTTTTTGTTCTACGTAATAGATGGCGATTCTTGCTGTATCAGGAGCATGTCTATACTCCATGCTGCAAACGAGAATCTACTAACAGAAAAGTGCAATAACGCTGCTAGAACCGAGAATAGACTACATCGTCGGTTGTTTGTTGTTGTTGTCAAACAAAACTTCAAAAGTTCAAAACAGTCAAACGTATGTAAAAGAATAAATGAGCGCTTCAAGCCGCTTAAAAATCTACGAACATTTTGAGTCTCGTTGTAATGTCAAGCGCTTTAAGTGCTCATTGGTTGATTCAAATATGGTGACAGCATTTATTGAAGCTTATCAAATGTATTGATATTACTTTTTAATGTAATTACAAAAATGGGCAGTGTCTGTTTGATTTTAAAAGCTGATATATTAATCATAAAATATGACAAGAATTATGATATACAAGATATTCTTAGAGGTTCATAGGCTAATTTGTACAATGTCCTTTGCGCAGTCCATTTTGAACTTAACAAATTAAGGTTTTAAATCAATTAGAGTAAATTCGAGCGGTATCGGGTCAAGGACATTTATTACAATATTTTTACTACTTTGACGTCTATTACTGGATAAATGATTAAGTTGGAAAAACTGTTGGCAAATCCATATCCATCATCTTTTATTATTCGTTCGTCGTTATTAAAGTACATGTCAAAGTAGTAGAGTGTAACGAAATAGCGCTATGACATCGCTAAGATGTCGTATCATATGATTAAAGCTACAGCTAGAGAAGCTGGACGGTCGTTCTGCTGAGTTTGGGTGGAATGTCGTCATTTTGGTTCAGTTGAGTTCAAAGCAAATTAAGCATTAAGAATAGTAAGTCACTTGTATTTTTTGTAAATTAGGGTGTCTTATTTGATATATAATTTTATATTAAATTTAAATATTTACTTTTTTGTGATTTGTACTTGATCAACTGCATACTAATTTACAATAAGTAGTCTATAATCTTGCCTTCCTTGATATTGACATAAAAAAAAGGATCGAACTGTAGCCAGCACGCGTAGCAGATGAACTCGAGAACTGCGCCTCTGTTCTGATAACGTAATTACGGCACTTCAATTAATAGCATTTCCTCACTGCATGTGATGAATTGCAATAGCGCTTTGTTGAATCAATGATAACATTTTTTTTGTTATCAATGCCAATATTATAAATTGATTAGACTATCAAAAAACTGCGAATGAGATATCGTATGGGGTGCAGTAACATTACAAACTTAAGAACTTTTTACCTTCACACAAATGTCGCTTTTTACGGGTGCGCCCATACAGCGTCTCCCTTTCGACCGAGGGAAAGTGATAAAGGTTCTCTAGTGTACGCGTGCTGTCCATATCTCATTCTCGAGTTGGTCACGCTACGCGGCAGGTCGCGAGTGAGACATTGGCAGGGTTAGTTGAATGTTCTTTTTTTGAATCCGCCATGTTACATGTGCGGCCATTTTGTTTATTGTCAGTTGTGAAAGTGGATAATGTTCAATCTAGCAATAACTAGTGCTTTTAGCTCTTTAAATAATAAACACGATAGACTGATAAAATATTTTCATTTGGTGTACCCAATTACAATAGGGATGATGACTAATTTTTGTTTGTTTGTCCGTCAAGTAGAGTGTTAAAAAATATTAAACACGTATTTTTTTGGTAATCATAAAATTACGGCGTTACATTGAGTTGAAATTTCGCATGACGTCACGTTAGAGTACGTTTCCTACTCAACTGTGACGTAGCGAGCCCCCACTTCTCAACTTTAATGCCTGTTATCTAAGCTATTTCTTGTTAAATTGAAGTAAAAAAAATACGTATCTAATATTTTTCTATTATCTGACTGACGGACTAAATAGAATTGCATTTTTTTACCCAGTCATCATCCCTATTGCTTTATTATTTTATATAGGTATACAGAGCGTGACTAACGGGATATAAAGAAAACAAAATGAATGTTTGTACATAAAAAAAGTCGCTTTATTTGTTATCTACATTTAGATATAAAATAAATTACATAACGTGTTGTCGGGGTGGACCGCTTACAGTCATATCAACTATTAATAAAATAAACAATTTACAATATTATATACGATTGCACGTGCATGTTCGATAGATACTCTAATTATCGTCAAACATTTGAGCGGCGCTGTAAATGAATAAACAATATAAAAAAATCGATAGAAATTTTGAATACAGCATTCAAAACAAAAACAGACAAGTTATTCTTTTTATTTTATCGACCTAGTTATTTTTAAAAAACGCTAATACAGTCTGCTATATACGACCTCAAAAATATTATAGAAACCTAGTCGGTATTTCTTGAGATCCTTACTTTCATTACTTATTAAATACGTCAGCGGTACACACATAATAATATCAATTTGAAAATGCCTTAAATTCTGTAAAAATTGGCAGTGACAAAACTGGCAGGCATCATCATAAGTTTGTTGAGGAAGTTTGTACATTATTATTCAATTATATGAGAACACCTCATAGGACCAATATAAATCATAAAACTACTCACGCGAAATCTACAAATCGAGAATATAAAGATTCACATGCGTATTTTAATGATTTATATGTTACGTTCGGTGACCGGGTGAGGCGGGACTCATAACTATATTATTATGTACCTCGTAATGACAACACAGTTGCAAAACATCACAAACTATTTCTCGAGGATAGCTTTATTTATATAATACACTACTCAGAAAAATTAACACGACCCGAACTAAGATTAGATGGCGCTATTTACAAACTTCTGCTTAAGTAGTCGATATACACGTTATACGAATCACAGGATTAAAATCGTACGTCGAGCGTTCACCACTGCGAATATTGTACACGATACAGAAGCGGCTCCGACTCATCGGACGCGGCGGGAGTCGAACGTTCGACCGCGAGCGAGCAGCCGGAGCCGCCGTCGTCGGTTCACGCGGCGGGCGACACACTGGTTTACGAGCTCTAACATTCACGTCGGTCGATGAATCGTCGCTTACACACTAGTTACGTATATGGGGGGCGCGGGATGCCCTAGGACTAGACGCCGCGCGGCACTTTTCACTCGTATTCCATGCGGAGACGGGTCCGGCGCGGAGCGTCACCGCGGGCGGGAGGGCCACTTACACGGGGCCGTAGTCCGACAGCGGCGGGGCCGAGCGCGCGGAGGGGGCGGAGGGCGCGACGGCGGAGGGGGCGGCGGCGGAGGGGGGCGCGCGGGGCGCGGGGGGCGCGGGTCACACGGCGCCCTTGACGAGCGCGCGCTGCGCGGGCGGCGGCGGGGGCTGCGCGCCGCGCCACACGCGCCGCCACGAGTCCAGCGTCTTGCCGGACCAGATCCACACGCCCGAGGTGATGCCCACCGCCAGCGTCATGAAGTACTTGAGCATGAGCGCGGAGTAGAGCGGCCGCCCGCCGCAGTCGGGCCCGCACGCCACCCGCCGCAGCCACTCCTCGCGCCCGCCCGCCTCGTACGCGAGGCACCCGATCACCACGCCCGCCGGCACCGCGTACAGCACGCTGAACACGCCGATGCGGATCATCAGCTTCTCGAGCTTGTCCGCCTTCGAGCCGGCGCCGACGCCGCCCTGCCGCTTGATCACCGACCGGATGCGGAACAGCGACACGAAGCCGGCGAGCAGGAACGTCGCCCCGAGCGCGAAGTACACGACGAGCGGCGCGAGCACGTACCGCTTGAGGTTGTCCGGGTTCGCGTTGCCGACGTAGCAGACGCCGGCGACCGGGTCCCCGTCGACGGCGCCCGCGAGCAGCACGGCCACGGTCTTGGCGGCGGGCACGAGCCAGGCGGCCAGGTGGTAGTACTGCGCGTGCCCGGCGATCGCCTCGTTGCCCCACTTGAGCCCGGCGGCGAGGAACCACGCGAACGAGAGCACGACCCACCAGATCGACGACGCCATGCCGAAGAAGTACACGAGGATGAAGACGAGCGTGCACGCGCTCGGGCCGTCGGCGGAGGTGCGCAGCAGCGGGCCGTCACACGCGACCTCGTCGTGGCCGAGAGCGAGCCGCGCCATGTACCCGAGCGCGACCATGAAGTAGCACGCGGACAGGCACACGATCGGCCGCTCCGGGTACTTGAACCGCTGCGAGTCGATCAGAAACGTGGTGAGCGTCATCAGCGTGGAGGCGGCGCAGAGGCCGCTCCAGAGCGCCACCCACACGGCGGCGAAGTCTTTCTCCTCGCGGGTGAAGAAGGCGCCGCGGCACGGCAGCGCGCAGGCGGGCGGCAGGTGGGGCGCGGTGCGGTTGTCGCGCGGCTGCGGCACCAGCGGCGGGCGGCACGTGCAGTCCCCGCACTCGGCCGCGCCCGCGCCGCCCGGGCCCGCGCCCGCGCCCGCGCCTGCGCCCGCGCCGGCAGCGCCGCCCTCGCAGTTTTTTGGATCTTTGCAGCGCTGGTGCGGACGGCGCGGAGGCCGCGGCGGCTCCGGCTCGGGCTCGCGGTCCGGCTCCTCCATGCAGAGTCGACTGGGGTCACCGAAGCGCGGCAGACGCTCGCACGCCATCCTTTCCGGCCACTGGAACCCGTACTTCTGCATGAGGGGCGCGCACCCGGCCCGTGCTCGCTCGCACACGCTGCGGCACGCCGGCAACGGCTCCTCGTATTCTTCTATGCAGATGGGGGTGTAGACCGAACAGAGGAAGAACTTCAGGTCGGCGGAACACTTTATCTCGACGAGGGGCCAGTACTGGTGTACCTGAAAGGCATTAAAAATATATTTCAGTTTACGTGTGGAAGATATAAACATCGGTGCATCTAATGTGAGTATATTTATAGAGTAGGCACCTCTAAGCCGGCCTCGTCCTGCGTGTCGTGATCGAGCGCGTTGGGGAAGGAGGTCATGTTGTAGGCGATGCCGCGGCACATCGGTATGGTGATCTCCTCGCAGCGCGGCTGGCCGGCGAGCGCGCGCGCCACCACCGCCGCCGCCAGCGCCAGCGCCGCCAACACCCACATTCTGCTTGCTCGTTGCTCTACCGCATCTGGAAACAACACAGAAAAATACATCAACCGAGGATTCATTGCCATGTGACTTGAATCTGAAATGACATCATATATATTTTTTTAATCATTAATTTTTCAAATTTCAAAAACATTGACCAAAAAAGAGAGTGTCAACTGTAACATATTCATTGTTCTTCTCGACTTTCAATAAATTTATCCGGGAGACCTTGACTTTCAAATAGTGCTAAAGAATCTCGAAAATCAAGGACCGTTATCTGTTATCTCGGTTATTGCAGCGCCCATTATTTACATAATTGTTACGGCGTGCGATAGTCGCGTTTATTGCCACGCCACGATAACGGTACAGGTGGTGGAAATTATAAATCAGGGCTGCGAATATTTATCTAACAATTAATATAGACATTTAGTCACGCACCATAGAATCAGATAATAAAATGTTTGGTTTAAATATATTTAAACGCAATCCAGCCACGGGACTAAGCCAAAATAACTTTAAGCTACTTTAGTAGGTAATAATTTTTAAAAACACTTCGCATATTATTTTATTTCTTTATTTTATGTGTTTGAAATCATGCGTTTACGAAGATATTTTTATTAATTTGTTATTTGTACAGAACTTAACTAACTACTGTAATACACTATATAACTATGCAGTTCCTTTATTCTATTTACATGTCCCCCCAGTACAAGTCCCCATCTTATCTGTAATCATAAACTACGTGAATAATAAAATTTCAACTTGATAGTCCATATGTCTAGTATCCAGTGACTATGATATGATGTAGAAGTTATTGATTATTATTTTGGACAGTTCAATGCACTATATGGAAGTTAAATAGGTTTGTTTATTTTAAACGCAACGTGTGCCGGTAAATATAGTGCGATGATCGACTCGTACACCGTTCTAGAGTAGGTGTGCGCAGATAGGTCACTGGTGAACACAATATAAGCCTACAAAATCATCAAGAAACACACGACGAAAATGTTAGTGAAAGCTGAAATATATTCGTAAAATAAATTTCTGTTTAATTGACGACCTTCGTCAACGAGTGACTCGCACGCTGGTTTCAAGGTGTTGCCATCTCTGAGGTCCCGAATTCGGTTCTTAGTCGGTGTCAATGTAGAAAATGAACTTTCCTATATTGCGAGACAATATAGGAAAGTTTATTTTCTACATATATAGGAAAGTCTGGGTATTGTGTTATGTTCGTTGATTTAGATTTCCATTCAATTTGGGATGTAAGATTCCATCCAAGTCTAAAGTCTTATAAATATTATTCAGTGTACAAGTGATAATATTGTTAAGTTTTATCTGTTAAATTGGCTTATGTGCTAAATATTTAGATTATCTTTTATTGTTTGTTTGGTATTAACACATATGGAGATTTTTTTAATTTTAAAGATGCATTATGCTTAGCACTGTATTCAAATACTGTCGTTGAAAAAGCTGATGTTGACACGAGTAAAGGTTAATAACACCTCTGTTTAGCAATTGCTCTGTGGACTGGTGCCAACGAGCTAACACTGGCGCAGGCGCAAGTTAATGCGCTTTTAACGAGTTGATATCGACACCCGCAGACATCGATAACGGCCGGAGGTAGATCGGGGCCCCGTTATATTTACATATTATTTCGATAATGAGAATGGCCAAGTGATAATTTATTGTAATAGTGTTAACTAGTGACAATAACGGTTATAACTTCCTGATTTGTATGATTAAAGAAATCGAATGGTCGGGTGCAGATCTAAAGTTTGAAATAATGATTTACCGTATAATACATATTTTTTTTAGTATCTACATATTTATTTTTAAGTTCTATTGTTTAATATCAGAATTGGATACCTGAGTTTTCATTTCAGATACAATCTGTAAATTTTTGATTGATATGTTTTTTATATATTTTCCAACATCATCAAAGGGGATGACCCCGATTATTTGATTATGTATTATTATATTATGTTAAATCAAGACAAAAAGGATTCCCCATTATCACAAATAAAAAAGGGGCCCGAGCTGGTGGTGTGACCTGAAGATTGAACCGGGACCTATAAACGAGATAACTGTTCGAAACATTTGGGTGAATTTGTACTTTACCGCAGTATCATTGCAACTATCAAGATCTCTATGCGAGCCTCTTCTGTTTTCCTACAAGTTTCTGTCGAATATTTTTCAAGTTGAAATAACTAAATGAAGAGGTGATGAATGACTTTATAAATATTCATCTGATAATAGATATGTTTGGTAAAGCTTTCTGCATTTTTTAAAGATGTTTTTGATTAGTGTGTAATGAAAGTGCAAAGTAGTTGCATATTGACAGTTATTTCAAATATAAACACCAGTTAAAGCATTTATCACCAAAAAACTGCGTGAAGCATTTTATACTATTGATATTGTTAATGCTAAAGCACTATTTACAATATTGAATATTACTTCTTGACTTTAGTAACTCACTGAGTTGTAGTATGCTAAGTGTACAGCCAATTTCTACGTGTCAGGCTCAGCTGAAGAGTAGGTAAGTTACGCGGTCGTGTTCCTACAGGAGTGCAGGAACAATAATGGTGTACCGCAGACCTAGCAAACAAAGCAGCTAATCGTAAAACTAAAGCCGGCGTTCTAGGTATTTCGAAACGCCATAACGCTATACCGTGTAGTGTGAGGTGTCAGTGAACGCGGATAACAAATATAATAAGTATAATGTTTTTTTGTAAACGCAGAGGAAACGCAAATTATGCATGCCCTCAAATCAGCCTCTTCGAAACTGTATCTTGTGGCGTTTATGATGAAATACATATTCTGTCAACCACATGAGTATGGTCTCATGAGCCATTCAAGGGATTGCATCCCGTGTTTTAGTTCTCAGCTGGACGTTAATATGATCTAGGTCGTCTGTACAGTTCACGTTGCAGTGAAACTGTTAATGTTTGTTATTATTTATAGCTCACACTTTTATTATGCTTTACATTAAAACAATTACGAAATATAAATCAATAATATTAATGGTTTAAGTTCACTGACATTATTGAGGCTCAAACAGATGATTACAATTCAATGGTAATTTGAAACTCGGTCCACAATATAAGTGATTACCTTTTCTTTTTTTTTTATTTATTAGTCTTCACAGAATAAGAGGTCCCTTATGACACATGTCATCAGACCGTAAATAGTGACACTAACAAAGAAATTCAATAACAAATTACCAATATTTTTTTATATAAAATGAGATATCGATTGGTTCGTATGACGTGTGTGCATTTGTTTTTTTTTAAATATAATTACCTCCAATAACAAGAATATTCGAAAAGATTCAATACAAATATTATCCATTGAAGAAAATACTTGAAAATGTTATAGTATTTGCCTTTATTGATAAGTTTAGGCGCTAAGCAAATGCGGGGTCCTGGGCATGCCCAAGAACAGTCCACCACACCAGCCCTTTAACGTCCCCACTGCAGGGGCTCAGGCCTTCCTTATGGATGGTTAAGGAGGATGGGCCATGACCCTCCACGCTGGCCCAATGCGGATTGGAGGGTATTAACGACTGCAAATGCAGCCGGGACCAACGGCTTAACGTGCCTTCCGAAGCACGGAGTAGCTCGAGACAATAATTTTTGGTCACCCATCCCGTGACCGACCCTTGCGAAAGTTGCTTAACGACTACGATCGCGGGCCGCGGCGCTTATTCAATACGCCACCGAGCTACTCAAGAACAGTCATATTGATTAAATTCAACAACACAAGGAAAAATAATGAAATGTCAAAATTTTTTATAATCGAAATACTGCATACAAGTTTTGCAATTTCATCTGAAACTAATAAGATTTCTTGTAATGTAATGTAGACAAACATAAAAATAGTTGCTCTCAAATCAGGGTTCTCCAACCGTTAGCACCTATCCCGAGGCGCGAGGTCAAGGCGTGGTTGGGCTACCTGGGAAAACCCGCTGCGGAATACTCTGACGTCGGGGGAAGGATCCGGGATCTAGCCATGAAGATGCTGGGCCAAACCTCACAAATTATAATCAGTTTAATGACGGGCAATTATAGTTTTAAAGAATTTTCAATTAACGAACTTCGGTAATCATTCTCGTAGTGTAAAATCTGGTCATGGCTAGGAATAGTTCGGCGCCCGCTATTATAATGGCCGCACGTTTATTCCGGTTCACTGGAAACGGTAATAGTCGGTGCAGCTAGTTTGCGATTGTGCTTATGGGCGGGCCGGAACGCGGCTATACCGAGCGACACCGCTCCAATAAATACATTACCTAGCTTTATGAAATTTTACAAACTACGTACGTTTTTTAAAACTAATATTGAAAACACAATTTATTTTTAGTTATGTTTTTAACATTTGACATCGTTTGAGTAATTAAAGACATTTCCGTACGACTGAAACCTTGATGACAACTACTGTAATTGTTTATTATATCAAGTAAATATGAGCCATTTTAGCTATTTACCGTTCAGTTTGTGACATCGATTTTTACAGTTTTATGACTTATATATAAGACTACTCCATGCACCCATCTTTAGTTGGAGAGCCACTTGATCTCCTGGTGAAGCTAGGTCTCCGTTCAAATAATCGTCTTATTCTTTAATAATTAAGATATAGGCTTATTTTGATGTTGTTTCTGTACGAAAATCTGTTTTGTCCAGATTTGCAATGGTATTGAAATTGAAATAGTTTATGTGTTCCAAATAAACAGTATTTGTCTGTCACGTGTGATACGGCATAATTGCGTCAGTATTGGCATGTATTTGTGAGCAGGAGGTTGACGCCCGATCAGCTGGCACCGAGCCAAACTGTTTTGAAACATATAGACCTATCTCCTGAACATTTGACATGCGTTAAGGAAGGAAAATAAAGGAGCTATATAGCGTTGTCCATTTGTGTATTTTAAAATACAGACACTAAAAATATTATAACAATGCTTTGTCTATGTTTATTTGTTTGTTTGTAATAGATAAATTTGTTGGATAGATTTCAAAATTATTTCACCGATATTAGCGATATATATAT